GATTGGAGAGCTACTGGGTTCATTGGTGGTGGAGAATGGGCACTGGTGGAGGGATGGGTACTCAATCATTGTATAACTGAAACCCTAGCATGAAAGTTTGTAAGTCTACAACTGTACCTCATGGTGTTTCACTAATAAAAAAATTAAATAAACTATTAATACTGTTACTGTAGAAAGAAAGAAAGAAAGAAAGAAAGAAAGAAAGAAAGAAAGAAAGAAAGACTGGTGAAATAAAGTCTCTTATCAGACTGTGTTCATGTGTTCACTCGGCAATACCCAGCATATCACAGAGCTCTTCCTGTTGAAAAGAAACAGAAAACCCTGAAACTCAATAAAATGACAACCACCTTCCTGGGGTACATCCTCTGACTCCCCCAGTGCTATTTCCATCTGAAATGCCAACTCTGGAACCTTCTGTCATCAAGTCTTGCAAATATGTTTTCAACCAATGTGAATTTCACCCCTTTCAACACAAATTGTTTTTTCCCCAAATATCAGCTATATTGGATCATATTATTAGTGTGCTCAAAGAGAAAGTGAATCACTATGATGCAGTAAGATATATGTTTTACATGTTTACATATAAGTATATGTATTTATTTATGACAGAGATTTATTTTAAGGAAGCACAGCGGGTAGGGCGTCCGCCTTACAAGCGGCCAACATGGCCGACCCGAGTTCGATTCCTCCGCCCCTCTCGGAGAGCCCGGCAAGCTACCGAGAGTATTCGATATGCCAGACACAGTAACAACAAAGTCTCCAATGGAGACGTTACTGGGCCCGCTCGAGCAAATCGACGATCAACGGGAGGGCCTTTACCTTTTATAAATCTATTTGTGAAAGCAGGCATATGGATTAGTGCAGGACAGAGCAGCACATGGGAGACATCTACAAACACATTGTAAGTTCGAGGCAAAAGTTTCACTTCCTGGAAAGACTTCAGTCCTTTCTTTTAAGGTGTCCAATTGACTCGAAGCCTAGCAATACTAGAAAGGGCAATTTGCATAAGTCAATAGCTATTGATTATAGGGACCAAGCAATAGTACAGCAAGGGTGCTTGCCTTGCACATGGCCAACCTAGGTTCAATCCCCAGCACCCCATATATAGTTCCCCAAGCCACGAGGGATCCCTGAGCTCAGAGCCAGGAATAAGCCTTGAGCACGTCGGGTTGGGCCCCCAAATAAACACACAAGCAAACAAAGAAGAGCATTTGATCTTAAAATGTCAAAATATTTTCACAGTTCCACCCAGACTGGTGTCCACCAAAAACAAAGGTACCATGGTCTTGTCAAATCCACACATAAAAATCAACCACCCCTTGATCTGTGTCCTGCATGATATTTAACATTTATTGGATACCTCGCAGGTTCTGATTGTTTTCTTGTCTAGGGAAGATCAGTCTCTTGGTCTTCATTATATTCTCTCAAAGGATTGCCATCTGCCTTGACAGATGAAGCAAGTCTGTGCACCAGGCCAAGCGTGACCTGAGAGGCAACCAAACCTCACAAAAGAGGTCTTCCCGAATTTTACCACATGGGGCACTTTCTAAATACTTTTGCCACATTTAAGATGAATGAACTTAATCTCAGGTAGGAGGTCCCTCTGATGTAAATAAGTAAAAGATATGCTTGCTCCAGGAAAACGACGGGCATCAAACTCTTCGTTCAGTGTCTTGACGAAGTCAGACCATCTTGTAGGTGGGTGGCCAGGCATTCTTTCAATGTCCCATGGAATCCAGTTGGTAATAGCTCTAGCAGAAGCCATTGTGCTGCACTAGCAAGTGACAGGGACAAATGGAGATGTTACTGGCGCCTGCTTGAGCAAATCGATGAGCAACGGGATGATAAGTGATACAAGTGATACGAGTAAAAGATGGAGCAGTTATCAAGAAATGTCATGTGGCTTCTGAGTATGTATCAAGATGAAGAATGCACTCATCATAAAGGATATTTGCACTCTCTGTTCACATGGCAGCACTATCCGCAATAGTCATAGATAAATGGGCCCAAAAGGGCTCAGTGATAGAGAATTTGCCTTCCAGACATGAGTCCTCAAGGTGGATTTCTGGCACCATCCCGCTTGCTAGTGGTGACACTTCCAATTGTGGCCCCTGGCATCACAACAAATGTGTGACCTTTTAAGCCCTGCAACCAGCTGTGAGCAGAAACTGCACGTATCCATGACCCCTGTCAAGCTCTGCCATCAGTAGTTTCAGCAGGGGACCTAAGATTATGACCCCGGGACATCACAACAACAAAGTGAAGTGATGGGGATAAAGTAAAAATAAGTTTTTAAAAATAATTGAAAACTTTTTTGCAATCTATAGGCTTTTCATTGGCCATCTGAAAATGATTGGCTGCAGACACGATAGTACATATATTCAATTAACTCTGACATGAAAAAATAAAATGTGGCCTTCAAGTTGGGCCATGGAGACAAAATAAGTGGAATCTGAGGTGAAAAGGTGAGGTAAATCAATAAAGTGAAAAACAGTTACTCGATATTTTAACTCTCCTGTGGAATATGAATAACTAAAGTAAGTAAAATTCACAAAAGTAAAAGATAAAATTAGCCCCTAGAAAGATGCAAGAAAAATGGGAATTCCATTCCAGAGGGAAAGGGGACAGGGGTGGAGGGAATGGGTAGAGACTCTTTTCAGTGGTGGGATGGCATTAAAACTTTAGAGGTAGCAGTGGTGACAATGACATACAATCCTAGATGTGACAATAATCCCGTGAAATTTCACAATATTGGAAACCAAAAATAAAATACTTACAATATTTAAAAAAATAAATCACAATGTGGCATATATTTATCAAGCAATGCCATGGTGACCCACACAAATGGAATTAAAGCACATTTCTTTAGTGTGTGAAATTAAAAAATGAGGCATGTGATCAAAGAAATAGAACTTATAAGAAAGCAATAAGTGATGCCAAGTTCAAAACTGAGGAGAGAAGTGTAGGAGCAGAATAAACAGAATAATTTAGAAAAACACATTGTAAAACCAGAGCATTCATCCAGACTCTGTTTCAACCCATCCACATCGCAGACATGGTAACTCCCAGAAATCTGTTTATTCACTCTCAGGAGTACATTGTCCTTGGCTGTCCCTTAGCGTGAAAAGGATAGGGACAAATTCCACAATGTCATTTCACAATTGCAGGTATATACCAAACAGGGGAAAGAAAAATATCATAGAGCCAAAGTCAGCAAAAATAAGCTTTTTTGTTTATCATTGCTGAAATCAAAATTTCAAGATGAGATCAATTTCCTGACATGATTTGGTTCCACTGCAATGGAGGGCTTTCTTTCTTCTATGGGTTTTTAATTTGTTTGGCAGTAGGACTAGCATAACAGAATGACCATGATGTAGTGAAAATAACGGCTCTTTGGGATCAGTAAATGTGGTTGGGGCCACCAACTAATTGTCTCGAATTAAAATATGGCCGTACACCAGGAGGATGGGTCCACAGTTGGAATCCCACCTCAAGTGCTGGGGGAGGGGGAAGTTGGAATAGAGAGAATTATAATGATGTTGGGAGGGATCAATCTGGAGGGAGATGTGTGCTGAAAGTAGGTAAGGAACCAAACATGGTGGCCTCTCTTTTTTTTTAATTTTTATTAGTGAGACACCATGAGGTACAGTTGTAGACTTACAAATTTTGTGCTTGGGTTTCAATTATACAATGATCAAATACCCAACCCTCCATGAGTGCCCATTTACCACCACCACGGATCCCAGTATCCCTCCCACCCCCCGTCCGCCCCATCCCACCCTGCCTCTGTGGCAGGGCATTCCCTTTTGTTCTCTCTTTCCTTTTGGGTGTTGTGGTTTGCAAAAGAGGCATTGAGTGGCAATCATGTTTGGTCTATAGTCTACTTTCAGCATACTTCTCCCATCCTGGGAGGATCCTCCCAACACCCTTTATGTGGTGCTCCCTTCTCTATCTGAGCTTCCTTTTTCCCTAGCATGTGTAGCTGACCTCCAAGCCATGGAGCAAAATTCCTGGTACTAATCTCGGCCACTCTTGGGTGTTAGTCTCCTATTTTGTTACTTTATCTGCACTTGTTTGTACATGGTGGCCTCTTAGTATCTGTATTGCAAACCATAACACTCAGAGTAGATCCAGAGTAAGAAAAAAAGTACCTGCCATAGAGGCAGGGGTTCGGTGTACATGGCAGGAGGGAGACTGGGACGTTGGTGGGGGGAAGTGGACACTGGTGGAGGGATGAGTGTTGGAACATTGTATGACTGACACCCAAACATGAAACCTCTGCAACTGTGTACCTCACAGTGACCCAATTACAAATTTAAAAATAAATGAATAAATAAATACTACCCTTCATTGGGAATTTGGGGTGTTACCCTTGAAGTAATGAAGGACTGGACAATCACATTTCTATTTCCCAGGACAATGGCCTCACCTCCCTATTGTCTAGAGCAGCCCTTTACCAAGTCCCCTCTTATAATTTATTGGTAGCACCTGCAAAATCTACGACAACCCTGGCTTCCAAAAAGAATTTTCTGGAAAACTTGTACACTTGATTCTTACTGCAAGAAGACCAAGAAAATGTCTGAGATCAGTGATCTGAAATCTGCTACCATACTGTATTTTCTACAGAGGATGGGAGCACCTGAAATTAGGATGAGCCAGACAGACAGGTACTACATGATGAGCAGAAACCATTTCTGTAAATTCGGGAAGAGTTGGCATATCTTTTGAGGTTCTGGTCAATCAAGAAATTTATATTTTAAGACAATGAGGAAAGATAATCAAATCCCTCTCCTAGACACTGACACTAGCTAAATGTTGACTTTAGAAAACTCTAGCTCAAAGCAAACTTGAGCTCAATAAGGAAAGATCTTAAGTGAGAAGGTTACTTTAGTTCTGACCACGTGGCTCAGTTTGGCAGCACTCTTTCCTTCCTGGTCAACATATAAGGAGTGTGCTGAGCCCCTGGGATCCCACTTGGTCACCGCACACTCTCCTCCAGCATGCAATTTGCCCATCTCCTTCCCAAGGCCAGCCAGGCCATCCTTATCCTGGTGGTCTTCTTCCAGCTTGGGACTAACAATGCTGAGGAAGCTGAGTGAGTTGATCCTTTCTTTTCTGGGGGATGGTGGAGGGAGGGGTGAGTAGGAGGTGGGGTGTGAGGGAGAAATAAATCTTAGAAGGAGGGTTAGCCTAGCCTAGAACTCTATATTCCATGGGCCAGAGCAATGGTATCAGCAGAGAGTTTGCCTTCCATGTGGCCTACCTGGGTTCAATTTCCAGGACCCCATATGGTCGCCAAAGGCATCCAGAAGTGATCCCTAAATGCAGAGTCAAGAGTAAGTTCTGAGCACTGCCCAATGTGACCCCAAAACTAAAACAACAAAACAAGCTATATGCCACTTTCTGAAAATGATTTCTATATCTGAGAACTGTTATCCACTTCATTCTCAAGAACCTGTTGTCCAATTTCAGTTTTTTTTTCCCTTAGGAATCCCTGTCAACCACCATCACATTTCTATGGTGCTTGCTGGTTGTTAATGTAAATAATCTCCCAGATTGGATGTTAGCTGTAATGAGTTTAGTTTTGCTGCAAGGTTCTGATTCATGTCCTGTCTGTTGCATCGTTGTTCATATTTCTACTCAGTAAACTGTACCTTCTAAATTCTAGCCTTACTTTCCCAAAATCTTATTCCCTATAAAAAGCTTTGACGAGTTTCTGCATTACTTGCTGAAGGATTAGAGACCCATGGTTCAAGGTTGCCTTAGCCCAGCAATCTTCACATTCTGGTGATATGCTCTTTCACCCATCCACATGGGTGCCATAGAGCAAAAGTGATGAGATGATCTCCTTTGCTCCCTTTCCTTTTTCCTTTCAGATTGTGGAGTATGGTCTGAATGTAGGGTTAGATCTGAAGTTCTCAAACATGGCTATGTGAACAGATTCTCTACAGGGTTGCATTCATATCCTGTGGGAAATCATAGAGGATGTTCAAGTATCCTATAAACTGGGATCAAGGAGGACCTACAATTCCTCCAGGACACAAAGATGTTTAGGTCTTAAGATTCTGTTTTGTGTTGTTTGTTTTATGGCTTTTTGTGTGCTGTGTGTGAGAGACAGAGAGAGAAATGTATGTGTGTGTGTGGGGGGATGTCTAACAGAGTGATCAAGAGGCTCAAAGCTCTTCCTGGTGATTCACAGTGATCAAGGCTAGCAGTATAATGTGAAGACCCAAGGATACAGTGCTGCTTGGGTCCTGGGTCCTGGGATTAATCCAGCTAACAACACATCAATGCTTCAGGGACTTCAGGCCTGCACCTGGAGATGCTCAGAACATCACTAGAGTGTCCACAGGAATAAATCCAGGGCCGGCTCCATCTAGACGTGCACCTTAACCCCTTAACTACCTCTCCTGCCTAATAAAATTCTGCTGACAGGGAGTTTTCTACTGAGAATGAAACCTGGCATTTATCTGGGAACCTGTAACACAGAATTTTACCATTAGTCTCTTTCCAAATTTATTTTTTATTGATGGTAAACAGAAGACATACAGCTTCAAAATAAATAACGAGACTCCCCAATGAAATAAAATTAAACCCACACAAAAGTTGCCAAGATCAAATTTCCAGAAGATTTTGATGCTCAGCTGTTGACCCACCTCCAATCATCATACCCTTCTGCCCCTTACCTGACCCATTCCCCCACTCTGTCCTCACAGACTTATTGCTAATCTCAGTCCTGCTTTTCTCTCCAAAATCAGTCGAAAGCTGATGATAATGAACATAGATATGCCCACAGCAGTCAAATCAAATGAAGAAGTAACCCTTAAGCTTAAAGTGAGCACGGAACTGAGAGAATGCATGGTGGTAAGTGGAAGCCTGGACATCCAACCATTTCTCATTGACTCATCAGATTTGCATTTCATCATACTATTTCTCATTATAAGTAACTACAATGAATATAATGCGTTTAAATATGTGAGCACCTATAGGATAACTCAGGAACTTGGGGTCAACTATTCTTCTCTCTCCCAAAAGAAATCCTTCAGTGAGAAGCATAAAAAGGTTGGGAAAGGAAAAACAATGAATAAATGGGTTATAGAGAAAGTACAAGGAAGAAAGAAAAGAAGAAAAATATAAGAATTGGGGTAGAATCAGTAAGCGTTTTGCCAAGGGTCTGTGTTCCTCCAAAGGACTGTGGATACTGATTTGGGATGAAGGTTTTCATTGAATAAACTGTGCAGTTTTAGCATTTGTGTATCCACCACTGAACGGAGGAGAGAGAATGTGTGCTTAATAGTTTTGTGAGAAGGAAATCTACAATAATAAACAATGGAAGTCTATTTCTCCTCAAGATAGCATAGATAACAAATGTGTTTAATCAATGAAATGACATGTGATCAATTTTGGCATAATTAATATGACTGTTCTAAAAACACTGCTACTACAATAAATAAGCAGTCCCTTTAAAAGTCTCCAAGTATGCACGTAAAATATAAAGAACTCCTAAATAGTTTTGTTAACTAGAAAAAATATTATAGAAAATTTTGTTAGTTCTAGTCAAGTAATTTAATTTGTACCTTTTATTTTTAAATTGTTCATATGATGCTTTTATAGGTTACAAATTTGGGGAAGATAAATGTATTTTATGTGTTATTTTAACACCTAGTCCTCACTATTGTTGATCATAATGTCTCTGCAATGGAATTTTTGGCCAAGAGAGATTATAACAAACATAAACAAAAATTTAAAAAGAAAATACCCTCAGTCATGTATTTCAGTATGAAGATCATATAATAATTTAGGGCTAAAAAGACTTATAGTAAGCCTTTTTTATTGTGTCACAGTCTTTTGCTAACTTCATCAGGTTTTTTGGAATGTATAAACAGCATACTGCTTATAAATTTGTAAGTAAGATGCACTGAATTGGACCAAAACTATTACATTGAATAACTGAATATATTATTTCCAATATGCTTGAATATGGTCATTTACATGTTAATCAATTTGTTAGCCCAGAGGACAAAATATCTAGAATAAAGAAATATTTAATTTTAGCTTATGAAAATATTCCGTAGAGGAGGGGTTGCTGGTACTCTGCTTGAGTGTCTTAAACTATGTCCTGGTCTCTGACAACAAATCCTATGTGCTGTGCTTGCATTTGTTTTAATCCTAATACAATTGGATTTGATGTTGCTGCATTAACAAACCATGATCACAAAGACACGCTGCTGCAAATATAACTTAAAGATAACGAAGAAAAGGGTAGCCATCACTGCAAAACACATCAGTTCTCTCAACATCCTAAGTCAAATGTTAGGAGCTTTGAATTCCCTGTGAGGTCTGGGATCAGTGGGTATTGGGGAGGCCTGGGTGACTTTGGCCAGCAATAAGTCCAGCACTCTAATGGTTACCAGGCCAACAGTACATGGAACCACCAAAGTGTGCATCGTGATGATAACATCCTCTGTGTTGCCTTGTGACACAGTCCCAGAGACACCCCTGGGTCACTGAGTTTGAAAAAAGTGCATGCTGTCCTTTTGCCAGAGGCAGCCTGGTGGTGGGCAGTTCCGAGCCAGCTCCTACAGCCTTGGTTAGGTTGTAGGTATCACAGTTCAATAGCTGCCTGGGGTGAGCTTTCCTGGCCCAGTCAGTCCAAGAACCTTGGTCTCTGATGCCCATGGCCACACAGTGAGGCAGGAATTTGGAGCAGAAAACTTTCTGACTTACACTTTAGCAGCTCAAACAAGACTTCAGAAGTGAACTTCCTGGGCCACTGGCCCACTGGCCCACCTCTGGTCTTGTTCTCTGACCCTCTACTACCTCCTCCCTTTACTGTTATTCTATCCCTACCTCTTTCCCAGACTAATCCTGGGTTCTCTCTCCCTACCTATTCTTTCCCAGATCCGGTCTTACCTAACCGCCACCTCTCCGATGGATACGCCTTTCAAGTTCAAATATGTCGGCTGTCTCTGTGATGATTACCCAAGAACCTTCTACTGGGATGTTGCTTCCAACAGTATGTACAAGAGTTGATCAGGGAAAAACTATCCACTAGGGGTGGAAACATTCAAGATAAACAAGGCTCTGGTTCTGGAGCAAGCTCAATAGACAGAAATATGGGATGAAGAGCATTGCAGACACAGAGGGAGCAGTCATCAGGAGGCTGCCCACAGGGGGAAGACAAGAGGCTGTGTGAGAAAATCTATCAAATGTGATGGGACATCTGCAAAAGATTTCAGGAAGCTAAATCTAATGATATGGTACCTGGGAGTGGATGACCAGATGCTATGCAGCGGGTTGAGTGTTCTTAGAGTCGCTCTTGCTCTTGTCTCTTTCAGAAAGCACGGTAATCACAGCTTACGTTGACGTGATTCGTGAACTTGGCATCTGCCCTGGGAATAAAGCAGCGGTGCCCATTGAAGCAAACCGTTTTTACATGAAGAAAGCCTTTAATGTAGTTGATTATTAGAGCGAGCCCTGGTCACCCTCACACCCTTCCCTATGGCTGTCCACTATGGAAACTTGATTAGGGTGTCTCTACAATAAAGCTCTCCCAAGCTTCTCTGTGTTCTGTGTGTCTTTCCTCAAATGTCATTCCCAGAAGAGCCCCAGAGCAGCCAGTACTTTTAGAATATGTGTCTTTCAAAGAACTTCACTGTAGAGAAATTGTAGGTTTTCTCACTGCCCATTTGTGTAAAGGGGGAAGAGAGGAGTGAGGGGTTTTTTTGTTTTATGTTTTTGGTTAAAATCAAAAGTGTGGATGTGGTTTCATAATTCACAGAAAATGAATGAAAGATCCTTGATAGGTAGTCAAAGCTCTCTCCTACACTTTGACACCCGCCCCACACACACCAACTTCAGGTCCCAGAAGATGAGTAACTCTATTCGATCAGTGGAGTCAGAGGGAGAATCTTTCCTCCTGGAATCTTTCCTCCTGGACAAGATTTCCGCTTGTCTCCTCTCTTATGATGGTTCTTGTGAGCTAGTGATAATAGCAGACCATGTGGCATTTCAAAGCTCTGTTCTCCATAGGCTACAGAATGAAGAACCAAAAGGCGCCTGCAGGGACCCACTAGAGAAGTCCAGAAGGCTTCTATCAACACGAGAAGTACAGTTGTGGTCAGAGGTGTTTAAGAGAAGTGCGTAATCCGGGTCCATTAGCTAGAAGTGAGGGCAGAATTAGCCCCACTTCTGTTTTGTTTCTGTTTTTGTTTTGAACCCATATCCTGTGGTTCTCCGGGCTTACTCCTTGTTCTGTGTTCTTGGGTCACTCCTTGCAGGCTCAGGAGAAAATATGGAATGTGGGGGGATTGAACCTGGATCAGCTAGGTGCAAGACAAACACCCTACACACTACATATCTCTAGCATCAAGAATTTGGACCAGTTTTGCATCCTGATTCCTTTCTATGAATCATAAATCAAAAAGAATCTAAGAAATTCTCAGACACCCTCACTTAACTGCATGTGGATGTGTGTGTACCTCCCATATCAAACAAGTACGGTGATGGGTGGTTGAAAATCAACAGACAGCCTTATGCCTGCTGATTCACCATGCCAGGTTTGAATTTCTTCTGTCTGATACCACTGAGTATAATCCTGAATGGGAGGACGAGTCCCTCCCTATCCACTGGGTCCCAGCAGCCTCCATACCCAACCTGCACCATAGTAAGGTCCCACATCACAGCTCCTGAAACACACAGCCCCTGATGCAACTACACAACAAATCTCAACAAATTACATGCTTCTCACAGTTACTCTTCATGTCATTTGGTGAGGAATGGCAGAGAAAACCATGCAATGTCCAGCTTAGTCCCTCAGCAGATTCTCTGCAAAGACTCACACCCCCCAGCACAGCAAGAACACTCAAAACCAATGGGGGAAACAAGAGAAGGCAACTAAACTCAGTGTGTGAAGAAAACAGTATCACCAAAGACAAACACCAGTAATTCTTCAGACAGTGTCTCAAGTAACACGATGTTGAGGATGTTCAATGCCTTCAAAGAAACAGTAGCATAGGTAGTCAGCAAAATACAAGAAAACACTTTAAAATAAAAATGAAAAACCCACTGCAATCAGAAATGACAGAAATAAAGAAGATGGTAGGCAATATTGAAAAAAAAAAAATAAGGCAGAATGTCAGAAGCTGTGCAAAAGGCCAAAGAGCTCCAAGTTAAGGAAGAAACCTCTGGAAAACAGAAGAAGGTGGAAGGAAAATATCCTGAAAAGAAATGAACAGTACACCAGAGGACTATAGTATCATGAGTTCAAGAAAAACAATATAAGAGTCATTGGAGTCCTTCAAAAACAAGAAAGCAAATGTTATGAAGAACGAAGTGACATCTGCAATTGCCTGTTTATTTCAGCACTCTTTACAATAGCCAGAATCTGGAAAAAACCTGAGTGCCCTAGAACAGATGACTGGTTAAAGAAACTCTGGTACATTTACACAATGGAGTACTATGTAGCTGTTAGAAAAGACGAAGTCACAAAATTTACATACAAGTGGTACTACATGGAAAGTATCATGTTAAGCGAAATGACTCAGAAAGAAAGGGATAGACATAGAAAGATTGCATTCATCTGGGGAACATAAAGTAACAAAATAGAAAACTAACACACAAGAATGGCCGAGATTCCCCTCCCATCCAGGTGGGTTGGAGGACCCGAGCGGAGCCCTGCCCCTGAACCCGGATGCGCGGCCCGCGGAGCGAGCCCAGCCGGAGAAGGGAGGGAGGAGAGCGAGGACCCCCAGCGAGCCCAAGCCCCAGCGCGCGTCCAGATCCGGAGCAGCGCGCGGCAGCACACCGGCCCCTCCCATCCAGGTGGGTTGGAGGACCCGAGCGGAGCCCCACCCCTGAACCCGGACGCGCGGCCCGCGGAGCGAGCCCAGCCGGAGAACAGCGCGGATCCCAGGATCCTGGGAGGGAGTGGCCTGGGATTGTCTAGGGGCGTGGTCTCTAAGAAGGGGGCATGGCCTAAAAGTGGGCGTGGCCTACTTCCGGGCGGGCGGCCGCTTATGCGGCCGCAGGTATATCACTCACTTCAATCAACTTGGACCTGCATCCTTTCATCCTTTACATCAACTTGTTACCTAATACCAAACAAAATTTCTCACCTCTTCTACTACAATTCAACAAAATCCCACTCGCCTACTCCATTTCCAACAAAAGTTCAGTTCGAAAACAGCTATACAAGTTCAGTAGTAAATAGTAACGCCTCCAAAAGTTTCACTCAATGTCAGTTATAAAACAAAGAATAACGCCTGATTGAGAAGAAGGTCAGACTCAGAAAGGTAAAGAGGCGCATCTAGCAGCAACAAAGCTGGACGGCTCCTGGCAGCCTCTCCTCACTCAACTAGAACAGTAGCAGCGAGTGTGACGGACCAAACCACACTGGTCACAATGGTAAAGCAACGCAAAAGCCCACCAAACTTTCTTATTCACGAGGCTAGCCCAGACGACACCAACAGTACTATAGCGATAGACAACCTCTCTGACAAGGAATTCAGAATGGAGCTACTCAGGATGCTTAGGGAACTAAAAGAAACAATGGAAACCAATGCCAATAAAAGACAAGAGGATTTGAAGGCAGAAATGAGGAAAATGCAATCGGAAATGTCGGACCTGAAAAACCTGGTAGCCGAATTGAAAACCTCAGTGGAAGGCCTCAGCAGCAGAGTAACAGCGGCTGAGAACAGAATCAGTGAGCTCGAAGATCAAGTTCAGAGTCTTGTCAGAAAACAGCAGAAAATGGAAAAGAGACTCACAGTTCGAGAACAGATGGCAAGAGAAGATCGTGATGAAGCCAAGAGGGGTAACATAAGAATTATTGGAGTCCCAGAGGGACGGGAAGAAAACCTTGATGAAGAAGAAACTGTCAAAGAAATCATTGCTACAGCGTTTCCAGAGCTGAAGAAAACTTGTGACCACATCCAGGAGGCCCGAAGGGTACCGGCTAGAAGAAATCCGAATAAAAATACCCCAAGACACATCCTGATCAAAATGACCAAAACTTTAGACAGAGACAAAATTCTGAAAGCAGCAAGATCGAAGAAAGAAATCTCTTACAAAGGAGCATCCTTAAAATTCACTGCTGATTTTTCTGATGAAACCCTCAGGGCCCGAAAACAGTGGTGGGACATAGTGAAAAAACTCAATGAAATAAATGCTTCTCCAAAAATACTTTACCCAGCGAGACTCTCATTCATAATAGAAGGAACAACACACAGTTTCACGGACAAACAACAGCTCAGGAACTTCATAGACTCAAAACCATGGTTACAAGTACAACTAAATGGGCTACTTTAAGGCAAGACAGACCTCTCAAATACACCAAATTTCAACAGAAAAATGGGACAAAATCCCATAACAATAATCTCTCTCAATGTCAATGGGCTAAACGCACCAATTAAAAGACATAGAGTGGCAGGATGGATTAGAAAATTGAACCCAACATTCTGCTGCCTGCAAGAAACACATCTCAATAGTCAAAGCAAACACAGACTCAGAGTCAAAGGCTGGAAAACAATCCTACAGGCAAACAGCTCCCAGAAAAAAGCTGGGGTAGCTATCCTAATATCAGACCACATCGATTTCAGAGTGAAGAAGGTCATAAGAGACAGTGAAGGCCATTTCCTATTGACCAAAGGATCTGTACAACAGGAAGAACTTACAATAATAAATGTATATGCACCTAATGAGAGACCAGCAAAGTACTTAAAACAATTACTCATAGATTTGGAAAAAGACATCGATAGCAACACAATACTAGTGGGAGACCTCAACACCGCTTTGTCACCTCTTGATAGATCAACCAGACTCAAGCTTAGCAAGGACATACTTCATCTGAGGGAAACAATGGAAGAAAGGGGCTTAGTAGATATATACAGGACACTTCATCCACAAAAAGCTCAATACACATTCTTCTCAAGCGTACATGGAACGTTCTCCAAGATAGACCACATGCTGAGCCACAAAACATGCCTCCATAAAATTAAGAAGATAGAGATTATATCAACAATCTTCTCAGACCATAATGCGCTGAAATTAGAAGTAAATCACACACAAAAACAGAAAACTAAATTAAACACATGGAAATTAAACAGTGCGCTATTAAACAACGAGTGGCTTAGACAGGAAATTAAAGAGGAAATCAAAAGATTCCTAGAAACGAATGAAAATGAGGACACGAGTTACCAAAACCTATGGGATACAGCAAAAGCAGTCTTAAGAGGAAAGTTTATAGCTCTACAAGCATTCCTCAGGAAGGAGGAGCGAGCCCACATAAATAAACTAACCTCACAGCTTAAGAACTTGGAGAAGGACCAACAAAAGGAGCACAACCCTAAGAGGAGGAAGGAAATAATAAAACTCAGAGCAGAGATTAACGAGATGGAAACCCAGAAAACAATCCGAAAGATCAATGAAACCAAGAGCTGGTTCTTTGAGAAAATTAATAAAATCGATAAG